TATTATTATTATTATTATTATTATTATTATATATAGAAAGGAAATTATATATTATATCTATATTAATCTATATTATATATAGAAATAAATTATCAGATGAAACTTTATTTTATATATATGCTACAGTGGATGTGTACTTTTATGAATGAAATATCTGAAATTCTTATATATATTCATATATATAATATAATTAATAAATTCTTATATATATTCATATATATATATGCTACAGTGGATGTGTACTCTTATGAATGAAATATCTGAAATTCTTAGAAATGTGTGTATTATTTTTTTGTTTATTTCACATCTCTTCGAGATTTGGATTTAATTGAACAATTTATTGTAGAATCAATATAAAGCTAGAAACATTAGTTTTCTTTTTTCTGCTTTAATGGACGTGCATTCTCTACGAATGAAATATTCGATTGTACTTTTCATTTATTTCATTCTTCGAGGTTTGAATTTGATAATTTTCCTCTCCCGCTACTATTCCTAAGCTGAGTCACGAATGAAACATTTCATTAATTTTTCTTACCCAAGGAGGGAATGCAAACAGAGTGATATTTACAAGGTTGATCCTAGACATCAAACTTTTCTTCAACGAACTGAATCTACGAGCTAAAACAACGAATTTCGACTGTTATATCAAGGAAGCAAAACGAGAGGATTAAAATGATATAGAAAAATTCCTCAGCCGATTCCCATAGTCGTTATTAATCGAAAGTCAATCCTGTAAATATCTAATCGTTCCCACAGATCTGCCAAAGGATCGTTAACAAAAAAACATCAATCACGAACGCGATCACTGAGAGACAGCAGCGTTCGCGAGTAAGATTCCAATTTTTAGTTCGCCAAGGGGCTCGAGCATAATTAAAAAGGGTACACCACCTAAGACGCGAGCTTCGTACGCTGTAATTAATCGTCGTCGTTTTTACGCGTAGCCTCGAAATTAATGAGAAAATCGCTGTGAAACTTCGTGACGTTAGTTGTCCGAGGAAAGTATTACCCTCTCCCTCCCTCCACCCACCCGCAACCCCCTCTCCATCTCGTACGGGGAAAAATATCACGATGTAGAGTGTACGTGTGTAGGTAGAGAATTCGAGAGCTAATTAATCTTCGTTAAGAGAATTGCTTACGCGACGGGGTAGCATGGGAGAGGGAGGAGCGGTGGTGGTGGTGGTGGTGGTGGCGCGAAAGGAAATTACTGTTTTCAGATAAAGTCGATAAAGATAAATGACGAAAGCGGGCCATGATCGAGAGCCGGAGATGTTTCCACCGAATTTAAATAAAGATCTGCCGGTTCCGCTCCTCGTCCGAGGGTGGAATTAACGAACTTCGACCCGTTATAGCCCCGGGCGATTTTAACGCCCGGCTCTCAATAGAAAATTCGCTCGTCGTTCTTGCATGGCGAGCGAATAATTAATGCCCTGAAACTGGATTTTTTTCAGAACCGCCGAACAACCCGGAGCTTCACACCAGTCCCGGGTCCGACGGAAGGAATATATACAGAAAAGGGGAAAAACTGGAAGTGAGTTGTAGCGCGCCAGCCGGACGACCAGCGGCCAACGTTTCTTTGTTCCTTGGTAATTAGTCGACGAGGATGTAGAGAAATTTTTAATTAATACTTTTACCAGCGATGTTGTATCGCACGCTCACTTCCCTCGTGTGTTTTCTTTTCTTCCCCACCCCTTTGTTCGACGACTAGACGACGAGCCGATCGGCAACGAGGAGAGACCAACGATTTACGACTCGAACGTGGACGACAACTCGCTGGCCGTGCAGAACGCGTCGCGTATCTTGGACTGGACGGACAATGGCAAAGTTCTCCGATGCATCGCCAGCCACATTGCCCTCGACCGGCCTAAGGAAACGACCATGCAACTGCAAGTCTACTGTAAGCGATCGCCAATTCGTTCACTGTGATAATGACGTAACTGACAATTTGTCGAGTCACTGATGCGACGAGAAAAAAAGAATGAAAAATACACTCGTACTTCTTACCGATATATTCTGTAAAGTGTACACGTTGGAAATATTACGATAAGAACTTGGAATTTTTTAATCTCATGCTCTGACGAAATTGAATTATATAGAATATTGTTGAAAATTATTGAATTGTTAGAAATAACTTTTGAACTAACGTCGAATCGAATTGTATACGTTGTCTATCGTTTG